ATATATTTGTTCCTGCCTTAATCCGTTTATGTTTGGTAGTGAGTTGTATGTGCTGTACTGGTATTTGCACGCTAAAACCACCAAACTGCCGATCAAATGATTCATATTTGCCGTAACTCACAATAAATGCTCCAGTTCGCGTCTTGGTATAGTATCGTAAGGGTGGTATGATGGAACACATCACTAATGGACTTTGTCAGTTGTATCTGTATCAATCATCTACCTCCCATGTTTTAATACTCGGTCTTAAACCATAAACTCATTCCTCCTTATCATTGAGCAGGTTACGGCGGATGTATAACGTGCCGGTGTACAAAGGTCCGCTCAACGCGTACAACGCTTCGTCGTTCGATTTAGAACTGTAAGTGTTCGTGTGTTCAGTGTGTGTTATGATTGGAAGTGTCCGTGTGTTCAGTGTGTGTTATGATTGGGAGTGTCCGTGTGTTTAGTGTGTGTTATGATTGGAAGTGTCCGTGTGTTTAGTGTGTGTTATGATTGGAAGTGTACGTGTGTTCAGTGTGTGTTATGATTGGAAGTGTCCGTGTGTTTAGTGTGTTATATGATTGGAAGTGTCCGTGTGTTCAGTGTGTGTTATGATTGGAAGTGTCCGTGTGTTCAGTGTGTGTTATGATTGAAGTGTCCGTGTGTTCAGTGTGTGTTATGATTGGGAGTGTCCGTGTGTGTGTACATGTGGTGCTACATCGACCGTAGGATTGTAACGCATCGTCTTGACATAAAACTGTATGTATCAAAGTATTCAGTGTGTGTATGGATTGGTTAAGTATGGCTATGTATGGCAATGCTATGTATGGCTATATATGGTATTGTAAAATATGGCTATGTATGGCAATGCTATGCATGGCTGTATATGGCTATGTATGACTATATTGTATTGCTATATATGGTATTGCTATATATGGCTATGTATGGTATTGCTATGCATGGCTATATATGGCTATGTATGGTTATGCTATGCATGGCTATATATGGTTATGCTATGCATGGCTATATATGGCTATGTATGGTTATGCTATGCATGGCTATATCTGGCTATGTATGACTATTTTGACCACTCCCATAGCATTGTACGCCAGAAATACAGACGCAGCTCTGATCTGTGTCTGTTTTATCTACTATGACTTTTCTTTTCGTTCTGATTGTTTCGCACCTACACACACCCGCATCTGCTGGCACGAAAATACCGGGACATCAAAGAAGTACCGGATGCAGCCACACACCACATATGCAGTTCCCTTATAATGTACATGTCACTACATACATGCACCAGTCACCTGCACTTATACGCACACACTCTGGAATCAGCCACACACCACATCTCAAATGCAGTCCCCTTATAATGTACATGTCACTACATACATGCACCAGTCACCTGTACTTATACACACACACTCTGGATACAGCCACACACCACATCTCAAATGCAGTCCCCTTATAATGCACATTTCAACCGACACATGTACCAATCACCTGCACTTATAAGGGCACCCTGTGGCTGCCTGGCTTAAATAGGCAGGTCGAGCGACAATGTACCAGTTTTAACCAAACAGAGCACGACTATGAGCTCCAGAATAGTGTAAGACATATGTACTGAGTGATTACTAGAGGACACCCTTCAAACCCCAAAACCCTAAAACCCTGGGATTCTCAACCACTACATCACACCTGGGCGGTTGCGTACCCACAGATACATTGAGGGTCTGCCTGAGGATGTGTCTGACTATGCACTGGTGACCATCACACGCGCGTCTGTGCGCACCTCGCGCCGGTTCGCGATATACAGTCCGTATGTGCAGATCACAGTGGACGATGCAAAGCACAGTGTGTGCCGGTAAGTGCAAGGGGG